AGAGACACAATAAGATCTTTGTCCACAAAGGTTTTATAGCAAACAGCAAAAAAAAAAAACAAAACACACACACATACACACACACAAATAATCAACAAGCGAGAGCACACACAAAGTTTCAATGATGGAACAAATGGTAAGAGGACAGCAGTTTTCAGATAAAGAAACATAGTAGGATGGAGAGATCACTGGTATCTGAGTGATCATAAATTATGATGTTGAACCAAGCAAATGAAGTGAAATAAGAATGAAAATACTTTTGCCTGCCAAGAAAATTGATAGCACATCCTCATAAAGAGTAGAAGTCACAAATTTTGTTCTCTTCTAATAAGGGTCTAGAAAATGATTATATCATAAGAAAACCATAAAGGATAATTTCATTTCATGTTATCAACATGAATCCTGACCTTTGATTCAGTGAATATTGGTGGAGTGTCTTTTGGTGTAAGAGACTGAGGGACATACAGAGATGAACCAGACATAGACTCTTTCCTCATGGAGCTTCAAGGCTAAAAGCTAGAAGGGGAAACTGAACAGTCATAATTTTCATTTTGGGGCATAAGATGAAACGCAAAAGGCCAATTAAAAAGGCAAGAACACAGCACCAGAAACTACTTAAGATTTGTACCCTTGATTTCCCTGATAAACTTTTATAGTCTTCCCATCAACAGGTTTTTTTGAAGACCCAAGGTTCCTAATTGTTCAGGCACCTCATTACCAATCAGAGACACCTCTCAGTGAAGATCCGTAATCAAATCTCTTCAGACGTATCAGTGACCCAGTAATTCATATGCCCCAATCTCAAGAATGCCTTTCAAAGTATGCACCTATTTTGAAATGTCATCTTGTAGGATACATTTCACATTGAAATATACTAGGAAATAGAGCAGGAATAGAATCTATTTCCTTTCCTTGCCGATGGACAATGGATTTCTTTCTTCTTTTTTTTTTTTTTTTTTTTTAAAAAAAAACCTTTATCAGGGGACTTCCTTGGCGGTCCACTGGTTAAGATTCCGTGCTTCCACTGCAGGGGGCACTGGTTCGATCCCTGGTCAGGAAACTAAGATCCTGCATGCCCTGCGGCAAAAACAAAACAAAAAACAAAAAGCCTTTATCTTAATTTTTTTTTTTTTTTTGGCCGCGACATGCGGCTTGCGGGATCTTATTCCTTGACCAGAGATTGAACCTGGGTCCCCTACAGTGGAAGCAAGGAGTCCTAACCATTAGACCGCCAGAGAATTCCCAACAATGGATTTCTTATAACAGAATCCTAGGCAAATGTCAGTTTTCTGTTAGCTTCTCTCCTGCAGAGTATGCCAGCCAAGACCACTTTCAAGCCCCTTTCTGCCTATCCTGTCTCCTGAGACCACAAAGTGACTATCGACACATGTGGATAGTTCATAATAGCTCCTTCTAGCATAGAAAACTTCTTTGATTTTTAAGGAAATAGAAGAGAAATGGTCTAGGAATTGGCTATAGAAAAAAATCAAGTATGAGTTTCTATGGAAATTTGTTCATACGAAATAGGTGAGAAGTTTATTTCTCAGGAAGGCTTTACACTATTCAGTTTTTAGGGAACATTTAACTTCAGCTGGGTACTTGAAGTTGGCTATATGCCAACTTGTTTGTATTGCCCTGAATACTATTAGATATGGAAAATGAAATGGCACATTCTACATTGAATGCCATATAGCTTTGCACTTCTTTCTGCCTTCCCCTTTCCTCCATTTAGTAAGTATGGTGCAGTATTTATAAAAATAGGTTTCAAAACTTCCTTGTATTCAAGGGTCTAATTCCTTCTCAGTCTACTTCTGAGGATCATGAAAAAGAAGTTTCCTCTGTTCCTGCCAACACTCTCCCCCAACACACGCATTGTACAGCTTAACTAGAGGGCCAGATTCTTTGCAAAATCTAGCGGGCCAGATTCTTTGCAAAATCTAGCATCTCTAGAAAAATGAATATGAATTTATAGACAGAAGTTAGGGAATTAGCAAGAAGGCTAAATTCTGATACCCATTCTGAGTCTTAGCACTGACCTTACTTCTAACAGGTTTAGTCTAAACTTCAAATTCTCTTTTATTTTCCTGGTATTGCACAATGATGAATAAGAAACAATAATCCATAGGGACTATGGAGATTAGACCCCACAAAAAGACTACACAGAAGTGGTCATACATCTGCCACATGGGCCCTCTCCTCCAGCTCAGACAGATGTAATCTGGAGTCTCAGATAATTCTTTTGGAGACTGCCTCCAGTCTTTCCTGACTTCAATGATAAGGAAGAAAGTTTTTATTCTTAAAATGATTAGGGTCGGGACTTCCCTGGTGACACAGTGGATAAGACTCCGTGCTCCCGATGCAGGGGGCCCGGGTTCGATCCCTGGTCAGGGAACTGGATCCCACATGCATGCCACAACTAAGAGTTCGCATGCCACAGCTAAGGAGCAGGCGAGCCACAACTAAGAAGCCCACGTGCTGCAACTAAGGAGCCTGCCTGACGCAACTAGGACCCGGCAGAACCAAATAAATAAATAAATATTTTAAAAAAATGATTAGGGTCATGATCCTTTTTTGATTTGTATAAACATTAAACAAAGGGAAATCTATCTAGTCACTCTTCTGCTTTCTGTAGTCATTATTTATGATTGATGACACAAGCTTTTGGCAAGCACAGATAGGGGAAATTCAAGGTCAAAGATAATATACTACCATAAACAGGGACTCATGCTTATGGGCTATGTTCATGTGATCAAGTTTCCCTGGACTAATCCTGCCTTTTTATGACCTGTATGGGGCCAGCAGATATTCTGAGATATGGCTCTGGCTTTGTTTCAAGTGCCTCTATAGGTGAACTTTGAAATTCTCCTATGGCTTTATGAATTCTGCACTTATGTTGTTCTGTGGGGGAGGGAGGTGGTAAAGGAGATGCAGGAATAAAGGGGAGACTTTGATATAATGCAATAACAAATAGGGCTTAGGTGCCTCTCCATAACTTGGCATTCCAGGCCAATACACTGGAGTTGTTTAGAAAAAAATGTAGTAGTTCCCAGGGAAGGGAAATACAATTTGATGAATATATATGGGGAAGACCCTTCCTGTTGATGGCTATGATGTTGTTCCACTCATCCTCTAGGCCCTGGCTTCATATTCTTACTCCAAATTGACTGGCAGAAAAGTGGTCATAATTGTTCGAATATAACCACACCATGCTTTGGATATTTTAGCTGCCTTTCCTTGGTTTGTGTCCTTCTTGAGGTGCAGTAATCATAAGGATACTTACACCAGTTTCATTTCCATAAAGGTATCAGGCTGAGTAAATCATAGGTTTACATAGGTTCTAGCCAGAACTGGCAAAAACTTATGACTCCCAAAGTTCTGCCGTATCAGTGTACTAAAAACAGTTCAGTAAAATGAGGCAGTAGAGGTAGTGAGAAGATAAGTCAGGCCAATAAGAAAAAAGGAAATGGAAAAGACCTTAAAAATCACACACACAGAGTTCTCCCCAGACTAAATGTGGCAGGTGATAGGAGTTGATAAGGGCACTTGCTACAATTGCAGGTTTATAAAGACAGAACTCTGGAGAATAACTGCCAAAACCCCACCACCATCACTACCACTACCATCAAAAAAAGTAAAAAAGAAAGAAAGAAAACTTAGATTTTATCCTTTTAAAAATCCTTCAATAAAACTAAGGCTACCATTTTCTCTTCTAACTTTGTGCCTTTGTTGATAATAAAAATAATTCCAAGGGATCATCTACAACAACAACAAATTCTCACTTGCTTTTCTTTGTGTCAGTGGTTGGGTTGAGATGAGAAAGATGTTGATAGACCTGGCAGAGAATTAATTTAGTGATTACTTGCAGATTTCAATATTATTTTCTCTTTCTTCACCATATACCAAAGCGAGCTCTACTGTAAGGAGATAGTGTAGGGAGTCCCCAGAGAAAAGAGCCAGATATAGCTTTTTGATATAAGAGAAGCCATTTTAGGCCAAAGCCATCTTGTCATCTAAGCCTGGCTACCATGCTTGCCCTTGAAAAGGTCTCAGTAATAATGACCTTAAGGGAACATAAGAACAAATGACTGTTTATCAGGCAAGAGCAGTAACAATAGCAAAGATAATAAACCAGTTGCAGGATTCCTTGAAAGCACTTTTTGTGGAAAGAAACCAACCTATGCACAGTCTACATATTCAAGTAATAAGCAGAGTCTATGTGGCTGTATTACTCATACATCAGACTAATGGGATGCATCAAAAGCAACCAACTGCCAGAGACATAAAGGGGAAAACTACTTCAAACAGTTACACTTAAAACTTAAAGGGCCTTCATTTATGAATGGCCAATGATCTAGGCAAACAAGAAATGCTCCATGGACTGACAAGTTTTTAGAAGAATAAAAGAGCAGCTATAAATTAGTGAGAGTAGCTCTTTTACATAGAAGTTCTTGGCTAAGAATACCTATTTTAGTAAAAAAGACGATAACTCAGGAGCTGCCCTGAGAATCTCTTTCTAACTATCCACAGAAAAGACAGAAAGCAAACCTGTGATTCGATTCTAATCAGAATAAGACGAAGAAAGGCTTTGCTTCCGGATACTGGTTCAAGGTCACCCCCTTCTACCGTAAATTTTATCTTTCCCTATGTCCACTCCACCTTATTAAGCTGCTCAGGCTGAGCAAAGGAGATGAGAAGCCTGTTTGTCTTGGAGGAACTGACTACATGGAGAATTATATGTATAATAATGGAGGGCTATCGTTTTTAAGAGAAAGCATGCTAAGGACAAACTCAATTTTTTAAATACCCACTTTCCAATCTCTAAATCATCTATGCCTTCCAGGCAAACATGAATGGACCAAGCTACTACAATATAAGAAACAGGAGGATTGGTTCAAGATGGCGGAGTAGAAAAACGTCACTCCCTCTTGTGAGAGCACCGGAATCACAACTAACTGCTGAACAATCATCGACTGGAAGACACTGGAAGTCACCAAAAAAGATACCCCACATCCAAAGACAAAGGAGAAGCCACAGTGAGACGGTAGGAGGGGCGCAATCACAATAAAATCAAATCTCATAACTGCTGGGTGGGTGACTCACAAACTGGAGAACACTTATACCACAGAAGTCCACCCACTGGAGTGAAGGTTCTGAGCCCCAGGTCAGGCTTGCCAACCTGGGGGTCCGGCAACGGAAGGAGGAATTCCTAGAGAATCAGACTTTGAAGGCTAGCGGGATTTGACTGCAGGACTTTGACAGGACTAGGGGAAACAGAGACTCCACTCTTGGAGGGCACACACAAAGTAGTGTGCGCATCGGGACCCAGGGGAAATCAAAAGAAAGCTGGAGCAGCAATACTCATATCAGATAAAATAGACTTTAAAATAAAGAATGTTACAAGAGACAAGGAGGGACACTACATAATGATCAAGGGATCAATCCAAGAAGAAGATATAACAATTATAAATGCACCCAACATAGGAGCACCTCAATACATAAGGCAACTGCTAACAGCTATAAAAGAGGAAATCGACAGTAACACAATAATAGTGGGGGACTTTAACACCTCACTTACACCAATGGACAGATCATCCAAACAGAAAATTAATAAGGAAACACAAGCTTTAAATGACACTATAGACCAGATAGATTTAATTGATATTTATAGGACATTCCATCCAAAAAGAGCAGATTACACTTCCTTCTCAAGTGCGCATGGAACATTCTCCAGGATAGATCACATCTTGGGTCACAAATCAAGCCTCAGTAAATTTAAGAAAATTGAAATCATATCAAGCATCTTTTCTGACCACAACGCTATGAGATTAGAAATCAATTACAGGGAAAAAAAACCCGTAAAAAACACAAACACATCCCTTGGGATGTTTCCCTTCCAGAAATATAAGGAAACAAACACTCTCTTTCCAGCCAAGCCAAGTACAGGAGATGGTTCATAGGAGCCTGCATTTTGCTATTTTTTGGTGATGGTGTTGATAATAGAACCAGTACTCCCACCTAAACTAGTGTCCAGATACCATTTGCATGTATTTCTCAAGCTGTAATTTGCATTTTAGGTTGTACTCCCAGAAACTAATCTCTCTGCAAAGAGGCACATAAGTATCCTCACCTCCAACTTCTCATATTGATACACTTATTTTATGTTCACTATGTGGCATTTATGTCTCTGTTACAGATTTACTTTCCAGCCTCATCCCAATCTCATCCTCTTCACATTCAAATATTCCACCGAAATTGATTTACTCAATTTTCCTGAATAAATTTAGTACTTTGACACTTGTATGTCTTTTTGGCCGTGTCATTCTCTGTAGTCCCGCCACCCCCCCCGATTTTCTGAATATGAGCAAATCCTATCATTGTTTATTCAACATTTACAGTGCACTTAAAATGTGTCAGAAGTAGGATAAAGTTAAAATACGGCCCCTGCTCTTTTGAGTTTACAATCTAGTTCATTCTTTAAGTCTGAGTTAAAATGCCACCTCTCCTATGAGGTTTTCCTTGAATTCCTGACAGAAGAAATCTCTCTCTCTTTTCTGAATTTTTCTAGCAATCTTCTCTTATGGCAAATTTGACTTACAGTTCTTAAAGTACGAGATAAAAAATACCATATATACACAGCAAGTTCTTAGAGGGCAAGTAACTAATTTGTACCTCCTTACTGCACCTGGAAGAATACTGGACAAATATTCACTCACTCAAAATGTATTTAATTCTTACAAAACCCATGTAGGTTTCATATCTACTTACAAGGAGCCAGCTGCAAAAGACAAGATTCTTGCCTTTGCGGAACCTGCTCTAGAGGAGGCATCCTCATTAAATATGGAAACAAATAAATATGTATACGTATATATAATTATAAATTGTGATAAGTAATATGAAGGAAGTAAACATGGTACTGTGATAGGAGAATAACAGTAAAAGAACTAATTTAGATGGAGGCGGTTAGGCGGAGAGAGAAGAGAGAAGCCCTCTCTAAGGAGGTAACATTGAAACAGACTGATAAATTACTGGAGTTGGGTAGAAGGGCAGAGAATAGCACCCCTGAGGCAAGAAAAGAATCAAAGCCATTCAAGGTCAGTATGAATAGAACACACTGAGTGAGAAGAGAGGCCAATGAGGTTGAAGAAAGAGGCAGAAAGGGTATACTGAAGAAGGCCTTATAGGTCATTTAAAGGAGACTAAATTTTATTCCAAGGGCAAGTGGAAGCTATTTAGGCGTAATAAGCAGGGGAGTGATGTGGCCAGATTTGTATTTTAACAGAATACTTTGATGTGTAGAATAACTGGCCTTTATTTGTTCTTCCCTAATAATATTTCCTGCTCAAGTTTTCTGTGAGGCATTCACAGATGGAAAAAAAAAAAAATCCCTTACAGAGCCATGGGCCATAATCCTTTAATTTGCCAGAATCCAGAAAGACATCTGTTAAAACTTTAGGATTAGAAGAGCCTTCTAATTTCTGGGTTATTTAATGGTTTGAGGGGCAAAACTGAAGGATATTCTACAAGGACTGTCCTGGGTTGTAAAAGCTTCTAAAGTCACACATCACCTTTTGTAGGAGAGAGTTAAGCTTACTGAATATTGTTAAGAGCATGAGTTTGGAGTCAGATAAGATCCAAATCCTGGCTCTGCTAATTTTTGAGTATCTTGGTGACATTTCCTATAAAAGTCCCATGAGTCTTTAGGTTGGCAGTAGGTACTATGCATAGAGGCTGCTAAAGGGGCCATATCCAGATTTCAATACCATTTGGGTAAATTACTCAAATTTGGTAGTTGCTCAATAAGTTAAAAAATATGATGAAGGTAGACTAAGCTCCCTGTGGGACATGGACAGCAGACTGTAAGACACACAGCAAGTGTTTAGTAGATTTTTATTGGATTATACAATCTGTACTATACATGGAAACCTTTAACAGTGATATATGACAAACCCCACTTTTCACTCACACCTCCACGAAACATTGGCAATAAGTCCAGAATTTATGTGATTGCAGTTTTTAATGCTAAGGGCAGTGGAGAATATACTAGACTGAGTCCAAGATCTGGATTCTGGTTCATCCAACTCTGTCACTTTGTATTCTTTTGGATAAAACACCAATGTCAGTTTCTCAATTTTAGCCTTATTGACATTTGGGGCTGAATAACTCTTTGCTGTATGAGCTGTCCTGTGCACTGCAGGATGTTTAACAGTAAGTATCCCTAGCCTTTACTCACTGAATGACAGTAGCACTGTCCCATGTGTGACAATCCAAAATGTCTCCAGACTTTGCCAAACATCCCCTGGGCGGGCAGAATCACCCTACTTCTTTGAGAGCCACTATTGATCTCTGAGTTTTAGCCTCTCATCCGAAACTCAGGGGAATGAGATAACATCTGTCTTGTTCTCCTTTAGGGTTATTGTATAATTCAAATAAGATAATGAATGGGAAGAAATACTGAGAGAGAAAAAAAGACCATATAACATACATAAAAGCATTATTATTACTCTGTGAGTTACTGTTATTATTATGTTCTATGAGTGCTCAAAAACAAGGCTGAAGAAAACTACTCACATCTTGTTTATGGAATGCATTCTAAGGCCTACGTTAGGCTATGTGCAATCTAATACACCTTTTACGTTTGTATTCAATAAATATTTGTTGATTGAATGATTTTAAGTCTGGGCCCAATAGTAACTTCATTTCCTCTTCTGGCATGTTCTCAGGTTTTTCTGCTGAGCTACCACAATGTAGTATGTTTCTAGACCTAACTCCACATGAAGGACAGGCCTGGATTAAACAAGAATGGCTACTTATTTTACAGCTGGAAAACTGAGGTACATGAGGTTAACTGACTAGCCAAGGTCACGTGTCAGTCAGTCTCGAGGCAGTCTGCAATTAGAATCCAGATTCTGACCTCAAGTCCGGTGACCTATTACTTGTATCATTGTACTTCTACCCTACTATTTGCGTCCCTGTCTCTTAACACAAAGGTAGCTATTTTACTTTATGGGGGCAATTCTGAAAAATTGAGATAAGGAAACAGAGTTATAGTTTTTAGGGAACTTAGAAAGAAATGTAGACCTATTTCTATGGGAGACACAAGTGAATATTCCCTACATTTGGGGTAAACAAAGATCAAGTTATCCAAGGGCACTGTCAAGTCTATAAACCCCATTAAGTTGTCCAGGAGGAGCTAAATCTAGTTGTTATCTACCTCCAGAGTAGTTGTGTCTTGCAACACTTTACACCATGCTATGGCCTACAATTTGTGTTAAAACTATGACCTGCAGTATTCTTGGCTGCTCTGCCTCTGTAGCTCTAAGTGAGAATGGACTTCCACATAGCCTGAGCTTCAGGCCACATTTCAGCATTCCATTAAAATTCACAAAAGTCCCAAATGCCATTCTACTATATATTTTCAGCGTCAGAAACAGAACTTTTAAAGAATAACTCATAAAAATGTCACCGTTAAAAAAAGTCACCATTTATTCTACTCCTTTAAAATACCAGAACACATTTAATTATTATGCCTCTGTGTGAACTTTCAAATGGTGAATGTCACAAAGAGTCATCACTCTCAACTATTGATTCAATAGTCTTCTGAGTAATTCTCAGGCAACGTATGGGTTGTAGCCTACCTTAACCTTTATAATTATTACAACTTGAAAGAAAGTAAGACCCGGGTTCTAGCCCGGGTGTTTCCATTACACTAAGCAATTTAATCTTTATGGTCACAATTTCCTTAGTGAAGAAAAAGAATAACTCATCTTTAGGGCCTATTTCAATTAGAAAAGTTTAGGTGTGTATAATATCGTTTCAAAGAAGAACAAATGCATACTTGTCTTTTCTAGGAACATTCTGAATATTAGATGATATACTTTAGACATTCCAACATTTCAGTGGCTTTAACTTAACAGACTGTTCATATCACTTTCTAATATATTCCAATTCACCAATCTTATACAATCATCTCTTCTGAGAAATACCTAAAGCAGAAATACTAAGAGCAACAGCCCTCCTGGTTCTTGGAGTCAGACTGCTGACTATCATAATGCAATGCCATCTTTGGAGTTCAGAACAAGTTACTAAAACTTTGTGGGGATAATACATACACATAAACCTGGGTTAATAAAATCTCACAATTTTTTTGAACATCAAATGTAAAAATACATATGAAAACGACTGGCACATTAATAACATACATAGTAAATAATAAATGTTAATTGCTTCCCTCCTAACTCAAGGGTTTCGCAAAGTATGGTCCAAGGACCGCCTGAATCAGAATTATTTGAGATGTTTGGCTAAAAATGAAAATTACGGACCCCACTCCAGACTACTGAATCTCCTCTCAGGGAATGGGGTCTCAGACTCTAGGTATATATCCAGATATATAGGCAATTCTTATGCGCTCTAAAATTTGAGAACCAAAGTTCTGAATTACTGAGATGTACAACATAGATATAGTATACAGGCTCTAATGACTGTATGTTTAAGAAGAGGGAGCTAAAAAAAAAAAAAAAGAAAAGAAAGAAAGTCAAGATTCAACCAGGAACTAAAATAAAACATTTGTTTATTCTGATATTCCAAAAGGGCACAAAGCTTGCCCAGTCTCACTTAGAATTTACACACACCACCACCTACTAATCAAAGAACTTTCTGGGCTAACGCTAAATTTAATACCAAATGGCTCATCTTTGGGATTTGAGAGAGGTTTCTTTCACCCCTGTGTGAATAAAATCTGAGTTCCAGATGAAGGGGAAGTTATATATCTTCTACAGTTCTATTTTTCTAGATTAGTTGTGAAATACAGGAATTGAACTATCAGAAAAACAGACTTTATCTGACTAATAAGACAACAAAAAACCTTCTGTGTGAAGAAAATGCTGTATATAGTTCCCAACATGATTAATGAAGTTAAGATTTGTTCCCAGCTGAGCACTCCAGGGCCGGTCCCTAACCATCAACTCCTGCATTTCTGAGAATGGGAGTTCAGTTAGAGATCCTGAATAGGTCACTAAAAACAAACAAACAAAAAAAAACATGAGGAAGCTGTGGGCAGAAGAGATATTTTCTCTTTCTTTTTTATGGCGGCTTTCCAAGTATGCAAGGAAGTTATTCTCTAACTGGTAAAACTGCACTTTCTGGTTGTGGGCCCTTGGGCAAATTACTTAATATCTCTGGGCCTCAGCTCTAAAATCAGGTAATAAAAGTAGCCTCCCTCGGGCTTCCCTGGTGGCCCTGTGGTTGAGAGTCCGCCTGCCGATGCAGGGGACACAGGTTCGTGCCCCAGTCTGGGAGGATCCCACATGCCGCGGAGCGGCTGGTCCCGTGAGCCATGGCTGCTGAGCCTGCGCGTCCGGAGCCTGTGCTCCGCAACGGGAGAGGCCACAGCAGTGAGAGGCCCGCGTACCGCAAAAAAAAAAAAAAGTAGCCTCCCTCACAGAATTGTTACGAATTCACTGAGGCAACAGCATAGTGGTTAAGAGGGTAAGTTAGTTTCCTCTAATATAGGGATGACAGTAGCAACTACCTCGTGACAGTGTGCATTTAAACACCAACTTAGCACAGTGCCTAAACACAGTAAGCCCTCGATACATAGTCATTACTGTTACTTCTTAATCTACTGTTCTTTCTAAACTTGGCATAGGTATAATCCCCCAAATCCTTTGATTTGTCCTTCGCCCATTGCTCCATAGCTAACCTTTCTTTCTAACCTTTGCTGTTCTCATTTTAGGAGTTTTCAGAGTGTGCTAGTGAACTCTATCCACTTCACTTCACAGGGAAGGATGTTCTTCACCTATAAAGAATCAGGTGGTCAGTAATTTGTTTCAATTTGATTCCAATCTGCATTTATATTCTTTGAAATGTCTCGAAGTTTCAGGCTTCTTTCTCTCTGTTTTCTAATGATAAAGGATACTTTTTTTTTTTTTTGCGGTACGCGGGGCTCTCACTGCTGTGGCCTCTCCTGTTGCGGAGCACAGGCTCCGGATGCGCAGGCTCAGCGGCCATGGCTCACGGGCCCAGCCGCTCCGCGGCATGTGGGATCCTCCCGGAGCGGGGCACAAACCCGCATCCCCTGCATAGGCAGGCGGACTCCCAACCACTGCGCCACCAGGGAAGCCCCAAGGATACTTTTTTTACGGGTGGTTTCCCCACTGCCAAACAATTCTCCAACACCAGCTGGGTGTCCTACAATTCAACTCAATTCTGACACTATCTTCTCAGAGATAGCATCAGATTACACAGATTTAGGACCCAGTCCTACAAGGCTGCTCTTCACTTCAGATGCCAATTGCAAGCCTGTGCTTGTGATCAGCTGGCTATAAATCTGAGGCTCCCACAATTCCCTTTCCTTGAGTTCTAACAAATTTGCTAGAGTGGCTCACAGAACTAAGGAAATCCATTTACCCACTAGATTACGGATTTATTACAAAGTATATTAAAGGAGATAAATCAACAGCCAGATGAAGAGATATATATAGTGAAGTCCTGAACAAAGGAGCTTCTGTCCTTGTAGGTTGGGGCCAGCATGGTGGCACTTGGAAGCATTCTGGTTCCCCAAACCCAAAGCTCTCGGAACCCTGTCCTTTTGGGTTTTTATGGAGGCTTCATTACATGGGCATGATTGATTCAATTTGGCCACTGTTGATTAAACTCAATCTTCAGCCCCTCCCTTCTCCCAGGAAGTCAGGGGCTGAAAGTTCCAACCCTCTAGTCACTTTGGTTGGCTTCACAGGCAACTAGCCCCCATCCTCAGAGAAGTCACCTTATTAACGAAAGACATCTTTATAGCTCTAGTCACTTAGGAAATTCCAAGGGTGTTAGCTCTGAGCCAGAAATGGGATGAAGACCAAATATATATTCATTATAAATCACAATATCATACTTTTTCTTATTTTTATATTTCTAAAGTCATTTCATTAGGATTTTGAGAAGGAAACGAGATATGCTCAAAGCGCCATCTTGCAATGAAAATACATACATTATAAGATGTGCCGTGGACTACTTTGCAGCCATAAACAAGAATGAGGAAGCTCTTTGTATATTGATAATGATCTCCAAGGTATCTTATGAGATGAAAAAAGAAGGGGCACTACATGCTATCCTTTGTAAAAAGTTTTGAAAGGGAAAAAAGTATATACATATTATTTGTAAACACCTATACTACCTCTGGGCATGGGGGAATAAGAAGGTAGTAACACTGTGATCCCTAGGAAGGCAACTGGTCAGATGTAGGTTGGATTAGCCGCAACATTTTTCATTATACATCCTGTGTACCTTTTGAATTGTGAACCATGTGAATATATTTCCTACTAAAAAATTAAGTTATCAAGTCCAACTCCTTTATTTTACAGATGGGGAAACTGAGGCCTAGGTCATTGAATAATGATGCTAATATACTCTTTAGTCAACTGAACCTGTAACATCTGCTTCTTGTACGTTGCTTCTGTAACACTAGGCTAGCTACTTTCCCCAACCCTCCCATTTCTCCAGATAGTTTGTCGGGAAGCAGCTAAGTAGGAGGGGTTTCTGAGCTTTATATATCCTGTTTTAGTGGCAAATAATATAGAAGCTCCTGTTTCTCTTGGCCACTCTCACCTTTCTGTACAAAGAAGATCAAGTGTACAACTACATTCTTCACAAAGGCCTTTGGAAAAGCTTTTATTTGCCTGGTCCGAATAGGACAACTCAAATTTGATATGTCAAACAAACAAACTGAAAAGGTCTTTTAGTTATGCAATGATAGAAGGGCCTAAGTCCAATGGGGAGTGGATCTCCCAGTTACTATACTCTACTTCTCTGATACCTTTTGTTGTTGGCTAAGCCACATCCTGGAATAAAGCAATCCCGAGATGCACCCTTTCATACCCCTCTTACTGGATCCTTTTGTAGTCTTGACACATTTCCACCATGCTAACCATGAATGCTTAAGTATGATTTATGTAAAGATCCGAGTGTTTTATAAAAAGCGTGATAAGGGTAGAGACAGCCCTGGACTAGGCATCAGAGACTCTGAACTATAGACATAAGTTTGCCATACATTAGCTATGTGACATTAAGCAAATCACCTGAACTCAACATGTACTAGTTCATTTATTACAAAATGGATATAAAAATACCCACCCTGCCAATCTCACAGGTTGTGAGGATCAAATAAAATATGTCAAAATACTTCCTAATTCTAAGGTACAGTAAATATGAGATATTATTAATGCTAGCTTGCTTTCTCATTAGAGGACAAAATTAATCTCTGAAATGAGACGTCCAAGTCACACATAGGGCTCACTTTCATGTCACTTAAAACACACAGACTCTTATAGCCTGATTTAAAGAACACTAGCTAGTTAGATATGTATAGGTTGGCAAAGCATTGTTTTAAATGCCTCTTTGTTATAATCAAAGGCAGACAAAGGTCCCCCTTGCTAAACCTTCCATTTAGTTATATTATACGGGATTTCAATCATCTATATCACAGTGTTGTTGGTTTGCCTGTGGAGAATGCTGGGAATTAATTTGGTGTGAGGCAGAAACTAGAAAACATTTTACCTTTTCCTGTTTTACTCCTCCCTCCCTCTGAGAGAAAAGTTGTTCAAAACCTCAGATAGAGGCTGCATGGCATGGTAGAAAAGTACTGGGCTAGGAATCAGGAGACCTGGGTTCTATATCTGGCTCTAGGGGTTTATTATCTGTGTGACCCGAGGAACTAGGTCTCTTCATTCATTCATTCATTCATTCGTTCATTCATTCAAATTTATTGTTTACCTACTGAGTGAAGGTACTATGATGAAACCCTATCCTCAAGAAGCGCAGTCTGATGGAGAAGGGATACATACAAATAATTAAAATACAGTATGAGATGAACTAAGATATAGGTTATGCACAGGGTTGTGTGGGAACTGATAAAAAGCCATTAGAAAAGGTAGGAGACAGGAATGGGTGCCTGCGGGTACAGTTAGCAGCATTCCTCTTCTTTCATTTCATAAACTGAACGGATACATTCTAGATGCTCTAAATTGCTTCAAAATTATACAAACACTCTGTATAGTTCTATAATAACTCTACTACCTATTTAGGGAAAGACTCAAACTGGCTAAAAAAAGGTCCCGCTAACGTTTTACTGGTTGCTAAAGTTTTGCTCTTTATGTGTTCCCCCCAAATCATTTCTCTTATTTACTTTTGTAATGCAGGTTTCTATGTCATTATGCTGTATTGCACAATGTCCTCAGCCTACAAAAGCAGGTTGTATACAAAAGCCTAGGGCCTTTGTGCAAAGGAAAAGAGGTAGGGTGGACCCTTCTCAACCCTTTCCTTCTCTGCAGGGCTTTGTATTCCTAAGGATGGGCCCCCCCCCCCCCGCTTGGGGATGTTACCTAAATCATGAAATGATATTACTCAAAGCAATGGAACTTCAAAAGCATTTCCTTCCCAGTGCATACTCTAAGATTTCTTTTGGCATAAACTGCTCACTTTAATGGATTAAGTATCAGACCCTTGCTGACTTCTCATACTTAGTCACAAACTACAGAAAACTTTTGATTTTTTTAATAGCTTTTTTATGCTAAAAGCTGCATGTGGGAGTGCAGGCATCAATCAGCAACATGCCCTCTCTCTTCCCTCCATTTTCCCCAACCATGCCTGGCTTGCCAACTTTAAATGGCAGAGTTATCTGGGTGCTGCCTGGTTATTGACTTATCTGACATCTTCCACTAGTTGAAGTCATTCTGTCTCTGTAAACACTTACTTTTTCAGTGATAACTATGTCATCTTTTTTCTCTTTTGCAGCATGTCTGGTGAGGAAGGCAAAAAGAAGAATCAACAGCAGAGGCAAACTGGAACAAGGAGAGGAACGGACTTAAGAATCAGAGACTCTTAAGAGTATGGTATAAATTGTTACCTTTAGAGAAGTCATTTAATTTTATTCACATTCAGTCTAGAACATTTATTTTTCTCAATTCAAAATTGAGATTATAATCAAAAGAAAACTGGACTGAGGTCACTTAAAATAAAAAATTCTATTTCCTACTGGGCTAAGTACAAACTTGTTAGCTTGGCCTTTAAGGTATTTGACAAATATGGCCCTGGTCTCCTTTTCAACTTTAATCCACTATTTCCCTATGTATACTGTTTAAGATAACAGTAAACTATTAGCAAACTATTGCACAGAACTCTCTTAACCAATTTAACTGATCACACATTAGCTAGGCTATTCTCCAGTATCATGGGAGCAACATTTCTGCTCTCCCTCTCAGTGAAATTATGTGCTTATTGAGGGTATCAGTTGTGTTTATTCACAAAACAATTTATGCCAATTGTGTTTATTATTCTAAATATATAATTTAATAAAGTATTACATAAAGCAATGAAGTATAAGTGAGAAGAGGAAAACAACAGCAGCAGCTAATATTAACTGAGTACTTACTGCCTGCCAGGCACTGTTCTAAGTGTTTTATGTGAATTGACTCATATAATCTTCATAAGAACCTTGGGAACTAGATACTATTATTGTCCCTATTTCACAAAAGAGGAGACTGAACAACATGCCCAAGGCCTATACAACTCAAAAATGGCAAAACAATTTGGCTCCAGAGCTTTAACTACTATGCTATACAAGTTGAAAGCTTAGGAAAGACTAGATAAAGATACACATAACTATGCTCCACTCTACCTTGTATGTGAAAGTAGCCACAGATAATACATAAACAAGTGAGCAAGGCTGTGTTCCAATAAAACTTTATTTACAGAAACAGGCAGCAGGCTAGGACAAGATTTAGCCCTCACACTGTAGTTTGGAGATCCCTGAGACCCACACTCCAAGAAAAGGCTTATGTCAAAAGAATGGCAAAAAGATGTTTTAAGTTTTAAGTTAAAATAAAATGTTTAAGATCTACAGGTAACTAATATCTGTATGATTCCCTGCTTTGACTTACTTTTTTTTTTTTTTTTTTTTTTTTTTCGTGACCCGGCCCTCCCCCTCCTTGTGCTTTTCCCTTTGCGGAGCACAGGGTCCGGACGCGCAGGCTCAGCGGCCATGGCTCACGGGCGCAGCCGCTCCGCGGCATGTGGGATCCTCCCGGACCGGGGCACAAACCCGCGTCCCCTGCATCGGCAGGCGGACTCTCAACCACTGCGCCACCAGGGAAGCCCTGACTTATTTTTTTCAGTTAACTTTTCCCTTCAACCTGGAAAGCCTTACTTCCTTACTTCCACTTGGAATCCCATTCACCTTCAAAGCCAATTTTCTAACCCACACCTTCCTCCAAACTATGTAGATTTGATCTCTTCTTCCTTTGCTATCCTACAATCATTCATTTCTACTTATGAGACTTACTTTGCTATATCTTCTATTATGGCTATTTGCATACTTCAATTATCGCCATTATTCAAGTATAAGCACTTTGAGGACAGGAACAATGACTTACTCATTTTCTCATCCCAGGCAACACCCAGCACAGCATGTATACATAGCAGGTTTCAGGTGATGTTTCTTGAATTGTGTTCTGACATTCTTCTGTTTCAGCGACTGAACAGAAAGAACACTATACCCCCCCCCAAACCTACGTTCAATTCATATCCCTAACACCACACCTAAGATCTAACTTGGTTATAATTTTAAACTATTAATTTTAAAACGCATCCACCAGAACAGATTAATATAGGTGTACCTGTATATAAAAATTGTCATCTAAATTGTAGCAAAATTGCTGATAATTCTAAAGGAACTGTTAAAATTGATGCTTTCTGGTTAATCTTCAGGGGGTCAATACATTTTATAAACACATCTAAAAGCTGTTTACTTAAGCAAAACAAAAATGCTTTATTCAAACTTGAGACAGGGTTGTGCCTATTTACCTCCCAGCAGTACTATTTGATAGATATCTGGGAGTGTCTAGGGAGCCTGGCCCAAGCTCTGAGTGAGTTAGAAGGGCTGGGACAGGCATTCAGGTTTCCTGATTCCTAGTCCAGTATTCTACTTCAGGAAGACAGTGGCTTTTTAGGTACACTCAATCCTGCAGTTCAAAGCCCGGAAGACTGAGGAAGCCTCACCACTATCTTCCCCTTCCTCATACTGCCAATCAGAACCAGCAGCTGTGCCCCACAGTGGCAATCCGGGCACCCATATTTGTGGCGTTTCCATCACCAAAAAGGCTGATCCAGATTTTAGGATTCCCGCCTATCTAGAAAGGTGACTTAAACACCCTGGATAAAAACACCCCCAACTCAAGAACGCAAAATAAGGGCTCAATGATCCCATTTAGCATTTTTCCCCCCTTCAGCATTTTTAAAAAGCACTATTCAGATGTTGTGGTGCTGGAATGACAATGACCAGTACTGGGGAGAGGGGTAAGAAAGAGCTGTTACTTATGCAGCTTATTCTTTTTTTTTTTTTTTTTTCCTGAGAGTAGGCAAGCTCACATTTAACAGAGAGCTACCACAAAGGGTTCCAGTTCCAGAGCTTGGATTCCAGTTGCATCATTGCTTTAACATTGTCAGCCTTCACTGCTTTAACCATCTTAATCTGTAAAATAAACACAGGAAGCAGACAACAGCCCTATCCTTCAGTTTAACAGAGGAATACTTTACTAACAAAAATTAGACCTACATATAATATTTTTAGCTATCCTATTTCTCTTTCCCCTCCCCTAGAGCTTTAAACAATAGGAAAATCATCTTCAATTGACACAAGAGACTAAGCAACCCAGACAGCTCACAGCTCGTACAGCATTTTTATCTTTTTGGAAGCTACCTATAAAAGGCAAGAGCCATTGCTGGGCTCTCTGGGTCACACGGAAAAAAATATCCTAAGAGAATAAATTAAGGAATAAGGAAACAAGGATGAATTCCACTACTTTGTCTAACAAAGAATTAATGAGGACCCATTACGGGCAAGAAGGCATAGTGCTCTGTGACACAGGAGACACCAAGATGAATAAAACTGTTATCGTCCTTGAGGAGCTTACAATTTAGTAGAAGCACACAAACTATAATAAGAAGCAGAACAAGGCAAGTGCCAAGAGGTATAAAATCTCTGGGAAGGAGCTACCAACCACTTCACTTTGATTTCATGCTAACAGATTAAAACATTCAGGTAAGGGACACCTGTTGTACTAATCTGATTGTGAGGAGAAGCCCAGAGTGAAAGTTCTCCTGAGATCTATGGAAACAGAAGCTACAGTGGGACATGATCTGCTTATCCACACTTCCGCTAAGCCAGGCCTACCCCGAGATTGTTCCAAGAATGACCCTACGTTAACCAAAGAAATTCTTATATAAGATTCAGAAAGGGTGGAAACCGGAGGCGGAGAAGTCGACAGCAATTGATGTTGTCTTAGGTCTGTGGCAAGAAGACTAAGCAAAACCCAGGCCAAGGTTGGTGCTGGGGGTTTTCAGCTTCTGAAGTTTCCTCTTTTCCATCACCCACCCCCAGAACATTCCAGCTCTCCTGCTCATCACCTGCATAGGTGGACTCTAGGGAGGGGACTTCTCTCCAGATGTACGCCACAGTGGAGCAATAACCACTCTGTGAGAGAATACAGTACTTAAGGACTGGTAAGGTTCTTGTTGACCCGGCAGCCCGCTAATTCCCGAATCAAGAGACTAGGGATCCAGCCCCAGTCTGCCCTTTACTCTGTGTGACCTCGGACTAGTCATCCAAGTGCTTAGTTCCTCTCTTTCCCTACCTGTAAAGTCTGGGATTATGAGGAGACTGGGATTGAATTCGATGACCTCTGAGGTCTTAAAGCTTCTTGACCAGTCGGCACACGGAAGCACTGGACAAACAGCCCGTTGAATAAATAGCGAGGGCGGCCACTGGGGACAAGCGGCAGAGGGATCAGGCTGGTTTTACAGACGGGGAAACTGAGGCACGGAATACCTTGCCCCAAGGTTACTCCGGTTATGTCACTATGGGGGCCGGGCCGAAAGCTCAGGTCTCCAGACCTCCAGTTCCGGGCCCTTTTTCCTTTCGCCGAGCTGAGAAGAATGGCGTGGAGGTCCTCGTCTCGGAGGGGAAAGAACTGTGCTCGTGCCAGGGTCGCGAGAGGGGCGGGAGAGGCCTTACCTTCCCAGATCGAGTCCAGCCACCGGCGCCTCCCTCTCAGAACCTTATTCTGTCACACCCCCAGGACTCTTCAGGAGCCCCCTCCACTTGTGACCCTCTCGACGTGTCCAAGACCGCCACCGAAGAGCCGATTCCCGCCCCTACCCCGCCCCCTGCCTCTCTGGCCAATCGCCGCGCAGGGTTTCGGAGCGCCTGTGCGTCTCGCCGCCTCTAAGGGCCGGAGAAGCCTTTCGTCACGCGGCGTGCCCCCCCCTCCTGGTCCTCTCATTTGCCTTTGCTCCACCTTCTCCAGAACCTAGACTCCTCCTGGCCGAGTCACAGTGCGAGAGTTCGTCCTGCCGGAAAACAGCACGGCGCGGCGGCGTTTTACGACGTCGGCGGTGAAAGGCTCTGGAAGCCCTCCGATTTCTTCCCCGAAGCGGGGCGAAAGGCTGCGCGATGTTCGGTGCGGGCGACGAAGACGACACCGACTTCCTCTCGCCTAGCGGCGGGTGAGTGACACACGCGTGGAGCAGAGGGCGTGGCTGAGAGAGCCTGGACATACGGTTGGAGGGACCGCTTTCTTATCAGACCTCTTCCCAACTTCCGGGTCCAGACCCTTGCCACATTCCGGTGCTCCACAGGTCTCAGAATCCAGGCAGAGCTCGAAGTTGTGCTGCGCCTGTCCACCTGGATTCTGGACCTGGCATCTCCCCTGACGCGCGGTAGGACCCTGGGGTTCGACTTTTGCTTTCTGGGTCACAGTTTCTCCTTCTGTGAAATGGGGGTGATTATTGATGAAGACACCTGTCTCAGAGTTTTTATGAGTCAGCTGGTGCCTATATGAGACTTTCTCTTTTCCGTGGACAAGGCGGTGACACTTCAGAATTGGCGCTGGTGGGTCAGCTTCAGCATCCTTCAAGGCCTAGCTCGGATGTCACTTTTTGGTGCTTTCCTTTCTCCCACGGCCCCAGGAAGAATAAATTGCTTTCTCTTACTTATTCCCACAACTAGGTGTGCTTACCTTTATCTTTGTACACAGAACCTACTAGATTTTGAGCCCTGACAGGACGAGAACTGTTTACGGTGTTCATACTGTTCTGCGCTCGGCACGGTTCACCGTTTCTGGCACATAGTGAGTGCTCAGGAGGTGCCTATTGAGTGAATAATGACTGTGAAATTGCCCTGTAAAGCCTAAAACCCATGTAAGAAACTGCAGTTGCTGTCCCCTGTCCCCAGTCACTATGTAAACTAGCCTGGGGTACAGGTCTTCAAGAGGCAGGGTTTTCTCTCTTCCACTAATCAATTTAGCCTTTTCCCTTATGTTGTGTCGGTAGACAGCTTGACTCCCTTCAAACTTGTGAGCTGCCAAGTTCTGATCCTTGCAGAGTCTTTCTTTGAACATCTGTTTAACCAATTTAAGAATGTACCGAAGGGCTTCCCTGGTGGCGCAGTGGTTGAGAGTCCGCCGGCCGATGCAGGGGACACGGGTTCGTGCCCCGGTCCGGGAAGATCCCACGTGCCGCGGAGTGGCTGGGCCCGTGAGCCATGGCCGCTGAGCCTGCGCGTCCGGAGCCTGTGCTCCGCAACGGGAGAGGCCACAGCAGTGGGAGGCCCGCGTGCCGCAAAAAAAAAAAAATGTACCGAAGAATGATGAATACACCAATATATACTCCTCATTCTACGAAATATTTAGAGGTTACAAAAATGATTAAGCTGTTCTCTCTGGTCTCAGGTTGCTCCTAGTCCTGATGGAGAGTCCAGTACATGATTGACCTAAAATGACACTGGCTCTCTTTTGGTCTTAAATAGGATCTTTTGACTTACACTGTGATCAGCTCTACATTAGCCATCCTGAGTCCTCTTTTCACTCT